CTTTGCAGCTGAAGAATTGCTCTATTTTTTCCCCCTCCATAGTAAAAAAAAAAAAAAAGTGAAAGCTAGGAGCTGGCATTTATTTCCCAAGGCATCCTTTGAGTCTAACAAGAGATGGTTTAGTGATTAGCTTATGCAGAAGGAGCCTGTAGCAGAGCTGTGAACTCTGAACATAGGAAGAAATTCTTTACGGTGAGTGTTGCCAAAATATGGAATAGACTTCCAAGGGAGGTGGTGCTTTCCCCTACCTTGGAGGTGTTCAAGAGGAGGTTAGCCAAGCACTTGGCCCTCTTTCCTGACCAGGGCAGGGGGTCGGACTCAATGATCTAATAGGGTAGCTTTCATAGATTTCATAGATTTCTAGGGTCAGAAGGGACCTTTCTTGCCAAATGTCTTGTCTGGTGTCCACACAGCCAAGCCAGCTCTCCACGTATTCATCAGCAGAGCAGTTTAAGGAACACCTGATCAACAAGTCATTAGCTTGTGATGGAGACATAAGACAGAGCAACCTAGCATCTGCTAGGATGGTACTTGTGCCTCAGGATGGATGAATAGATAGATGCTTTTGATGGGTGGCCTGCTTCTCTGCCGAAACAGATCCACCTATCCATCAGAAGTTAAAAATCAGAGTTGGGAAGCTGTAGGCACTTGACCACAATGTAGGCCCCCGAGCTCTATTCCCAGCTCTACTGCTCACCTATTATGTGACCATGGGCTGCTATGCTCACTTCTTAGCTTCTTTTCCCTCTATTGTATGTCTAGGCAACTTTCCCTGTAGGAAACTGTAGGACAGGGGCCATCTCTCCTTGTATCTGAGCAGGGTCTGGCACAAATGGGGCCCTGAGCTCAGCTATGCCCTCTTGTGAAGTGCTGTTGCAAAATCACCTCTAAATTGTATTGATGCTCTTTAGTAACCTCTACCCAACTCTTCCCATCCACACTTCTCATGATGGGTGAGGGGAGGTGAGGGGTTACGCCACAGAAGCAGGTCAATTCCTTTTTCATTGGATATAATTAATGACCCGTGCAGCAGCTCCAAATGCCAACGTGACTACCAGCTCCTGCCTGGTGGGTTAACCTCAGCAATATTTTCCTCTCTTCAGATGTGACTGGATCTCAGGTCCTGTCTCCCAGGGACCTGGCCCCAGAGAAGAATTCAGGCATCCAGCCAATATTTCATGGCACCTTTCCAGGCAAACACATGCAGCTGTGATATAATTATGGGGGAATAAGGACCCTGCAGAAGCTGAATAGTTAAGTGCAGAACCTCTTCTGACCTCACAATTAACCATGGAAGTGGCACGGACAGTCCTGGGGGGTCCTTCAGTGACCTTGTTGTAATGGCACCGGGTTTCCACAGGGTAATAAGACATTTGATCATGTCCACAGAAGTACATCTAGGAGGAACTTGCACTTAAAACTTCTCCATCACTGAGTAGTAGCTGACTCCCCGGGGAGAGGTAGGGAGGGAGGAAATAGGATTTGCCCATCTTTTTGTGCATGGTTCTTCGGACCAAAAGGGAGCATGGAAGAGTCTGGCCTCACACATCAACAGGCCACAGAACGTTACCCTGGATCAAGTCTCAAATCTCAGGTGGTGGGAGGAGAGTAGACACTAGTGGGTCCAGTCAGGGGTAGGTTGGGAGTCGGGACGCCTGGCTTCCATTCCTGACTCTCTGGGGAACTGCAGTTAAAAGCATTGGGGGTCGGGAGCAAAGGTCTTGCTTTGGATCTGATGCTGACTCACTCCTATGACTCATTTTTTCTATCTGGAAGACCTGGAGAGTGATGCTAATCTGCCACCTGACTGAGTTGTGAAAAGCCTTGGCATCTGGTGGGAAAGGGGCAACTGAAATGGAAAATCCTTCGTAAAAGGCACTGCTTACCTAGGGAACCCCAGGGCCTCGCAGGAACATTGAGGCCATGTCAGGAGATATTGCAAATGTGAAACGTAAGAAGAACAACTCCTGCTATTACGATAGAAGCCAGGGCAGAGTGGGACCTTAGAGACTAACTGACTCAGAGAGGCATGAGCTCTTGTGTTCAACAACCTGCTTTGTCAAATGCTACTGCTAGGATAGAAAGGATACAAAATACCATATTTATTTGATTAAAAGGTGAGGATTTTTCCCCCCCATTTAACAAGGGCGGGGGGGAAGCCCCTCATTTTACAATTGAGTATGAGGCAGCAAGGGACAGGCAACTGCTGCAGCTCCAGCCCCAACCCTGGGTCTGCTGCCTGCCCCCTTCTATCCACCGCAGCTGCTCCGTCCATGCTGCACCCTGGAGCATGGTGCATGGCCCCAGCCCAGCCCTGTAGCAGCAGTGTCGTCTCTGTGCCACTGCTATAAAGCTTGGCTGGAGCCGTGCTCTGTGCTCCAGGCTGCAATAGGGATGGAGTCTGGGCACCAGGGCAAAAGTAAGAGGGAGATGGAGGAGCAGGCGGGGAGTCCAGAGAAAGGACAAAGGAGAGTCAGGAGACCCCAGATTGCAGGGGGCAGAAGCAGTGCAGAGGGGAGAGAAGAGGGAGCGGGGGCCTGAGGCTGCAGGAGGCAGGCACGGGGGGTTAAGTGGTGGTGGGAAAAGTTGCAGAGGAAAGTTGCATGTCTCCTCCACCGCCCACCAACCTGCCCCATTACTGCTCCTCCCCCCACTGCCTGCCCTATCATGTCCCCCCCCACTGCCTCCCCCATTGTCTATCCCCGCACTGCCTGGCTCATTACTGCCTGCCTCAGCACCTGTCCCCCCTCCACCACCACCACCACATGCGGGGGGGAATTTAAGATGATCCTGCAATAATTAGAATCTATACGTGGAAAATTATAACAAATGTATACATTTTCCATTAATAGAATCTAATTATTGGGGGAGGGCATCTTAAGTTCAGGATTGGGCTATGTTTGGTTGAATATGGTATACTCAATAATAACTGTTATAAATTGTTTATGTAGTCTAAAATATACTATATATTCACTACTGCCCCCACTACTGCTGCTGTCCCAGCTGAGCCCAGCTGCTTCATAGCCTTAAATCTTCTCCCACCCCAGAGACAATGGGGAAAGCAGTAGCAGCAGGTTGGGTAGTGGAGGGCAGGAGAGGGAAGGGGATATGTTTCTGAGCACAAAGAGGAAAGGGGGATTTAGCTGTTTTGTGACCTTTAACAAAGTCCCCAAAGGCTCCAGGCATGGTCTGCCCACACTGGTGGGTGAGGGAAAGGGGGGAGGAGACTGAGAGCAGTGGTGCAGTCACCCTTGCAGCATGGGTACCTGCTCCTACACCTCCCCTTTGCCCAATCCTTGATTTACCCTTGCAAGCATAATGCTGGGGATGGCACAGTTATGCACACACTCCCTTCTTGGTTCCTTCTTGCCTTAAGCACATGCTTTCAGCTAAAAGCTTATTGTGTTTGGTTAATGAGTGAGTGCTGTGAAATCAAGTGAGGAAGGTCTTATTTCCTTCAGCTGGGGGAATGACATGCACACACGCATGCACACACGGGTCTGAACCCTTCCAACAGAAGGCAGCAATCTCTTTGTCACACACCCACACTCTTTGTCATGCCTCTCTACAGATTATGTCTCTGGGCCTGCCAGGTGCAGTCCCTGTTTTATTTGCAGCCTGTGGGATGACAGGTGAGCAAATGTCATGCTTCCTTTCACCTCTTGATAACCTGAAGGAAACAGGCTCATCTGGCAGCAAGACAAGGCCTCCCTGACTCGGAAATACAGCTCAGAGAGCCAGCTGCTGCTCTTTTTCAAGACTTGTGCAGAATAGTTTCATGAGCAGCCACTCACTGTTGCTTAGGTCCAGTTTTAAACTCAGGTATAGTTAGGTAGGAGACCTCTTTTAACCATACTTCATGCATAGAGAGACATGAGACATGGAACCCAGAAGTCCCGACTCACAGCCTTTCCCCGAGTCCTGCTGCTGCAACCACTCCCCTCCCAGAGCCTGGAGTGCTCAGTCATGGCTCCCAGCTCCCTTGTTCTAGCCATCAAGCCTCCCTCTTAACTGAGGTCACCAGCCCTTCAGGATTGCCCTGTAGTCTCCAGGAATTAGATATAAATCTCCAGGAGACTGCCGAGAGTCACCCGAGAGATAAATGATAGGGCATTCATTAAAATAAACATTAAATATTGAATCCCATTTATACAGTCCAGTGGGTTTTTAAAATGTAATAGTAATGTGCACTTGCCTTCCTGATGTAAAGTCTACACACCCTAATTCATAACAAGCACGTGCGCACATTTGCATTACGTATCGTGGGCAGGTTGGCATCCCAGAAACCTCCCAAAATAGACGCAAACAGAGTTGGCAACTCTACTTCTAACCCAGAGCTGGGAGGTAAACTCAGGCAGCCTGATACTCCACCCCCAACCAAAATGATATAACCTTTAGATCTGATTCCACCCCAGAGATGGGGATAGACCTTGGGGTCCTGACTCCCAGCTGCCCCGGCTCTAGCCCACTCAAACATCACTCTCTTTCCAGCCTTGTTGTTCCCAGACATCTCTGGCCAAGGTTCAAATTATGGGGGAGCTCAGGGGGTCTGAGCCCCCCATAAAAGACAAGAGCCCCCCTGGAAGATTTGAAAAGTATAACCTGGGGGGGCGGTCTCTGGTTTTATTAAGGCAGCCCAATTTTTTTTCTAGCCCCCCCAAGAGTCAAAGTGTAGTTCAACCCCTGTCTCTGGAAGCATTTGCAATGCACTGAGTTGGCATCTTCTTTGGGTGGGAGCTGGGGGTCTCATGAGATCAGAAGCTTCTCTTGAGGCTTCTCACAACCCAACTACACAGGGCTCCGTCTAGGAGTCTCCGAAGTAGTTTGCTCCTGTCCTCTAGCAGAAACAGTGGGCACTGCACCCCAGTGCATTTTCCTTTACATGCGCTGAACTCTTCTGCCCTTTGGCTTAATGACTCTGTAAGCCAGTAGGAGAAACCTCTTTTTATGAAGCACGAAACCAGACAAACATAGCAGGCACTTAGGAGAGCTGATAGGGGAAGATATCCTATTTATTAATCAGATTGATTATTTACAAAGAGATCCAAAAGGTCATAAGGTATTTGGCTGACAAACCAATCTGAAGCAAGCAGTCTTCCTGCTGTGGAAACACAGCCAGCTTGGGGATGAGGCAGGTGGATAACAGCCATGCTGCCCATGGCTGCCCAGAGCTGGCATGAACACTGATGGCTGGCTCCGAGGTGGGCTGGCCAGGAAACAACCATATAGCACTGGGATTGAATGCACTTAGTTCTGGTGGGGTGGGCAAGGCAGCTGGGATACAACCATGGAGCAATGCTGCATAGAGCTTGGGCAACCAGTGCTGAAATGCAGCTACGTCTGGGGTAAGAATAGCATGACAAAGCAGGATAGGGATTGCTCAGCCAATGTTTGAGTGCAGCTACTTCTGGGGGAGGATGGCTGGGTTTCAATTGCACAGCAACGCAGCATGAAGCTTGCTCAGAAACACGGCTCTCTCTGGGGTGGAAGGCAAGGCATAATTGCAGCCTATGGACTAACTAATTCCGAGTTAATCTATAAGGTCCAACTCTGCCCTGTCTTCTACCTGACTTCAGACTAACACAGCTAACTATTTCTTTTCTATTTGGGGTGGCTTGTGGTAGCTGTTTTACAACTGTAAAGTAGTGCTGCACATCAGATTAAACAATAAAAAGGGAAATACCTTATTGAGTTACTATCACAAAGGAAATTTTACAGAGAAAGAAGGGGAAAGACCCCATATCCCATTTTTCTACCCCTCTGAACCAGCCTATCCACCCAGTCTGAAGATCAGACCCTGCCTTGTAGAGAGGATGGGACCTCTAGACTATTCCTCAGCTCCCATGAGCCAGCCAGTCCTGGTGGCTTGGGTCACACTGGAACTGGTGCCTGAGAGGGAGATAACACCATATTTCCTTCCCTGCAGTTGTGCTCTTCCATTTCCCTCCCTCACACAGGCAGAAGTCAGAAAAAGGGTGGGATGGACCATTGGTCTGATCTGCTAGTGGCAGAACACGGGATCCCAGACCAGATGGAAAGAGATCTAAGTCTGTATGGACTTGTGAGCTGATGAACTGCCCCATACAGCAGTTTTTCCTCTGTCCTTAGTCCTGGCCAAAACACACCACAATGCTGTGACCTTCTCATGGGACAGTGGTCAGTGAAAACCCATTTTCCTTGTATTAAAGGGAGGAACTAGATGAAGTTCTTTCCTCCATTTCTGTCCATTGAGTCAGCTACAGATGTCTTGAATGCAGTCTCTCTGTGCCATCCAGAAGTGGTACCTGGCTGCTTCAGAGGTGCTGACCATGGAGAAGGATCTCAGGGGAATGAGTTTGCGACTGGGACTGAGAAGGTGGCAGAGCTGATGATAAAGACCTTCACATAATGGATGGCCTGGAAGAGATATGCATGGTCATCAGTACAATGGTCTGAGTAACAAACAGCAGGCCCCAGGACCTTCTCAAAACTGATAGAAACCCCAGGAATCCCAATCCCCAGTTTTCCCCTGGCCCAACCACCAAAGCTAACTCCCCTCCTACTGCTGGGAGCCCAGGACTCCTGGCTCTCCAGTTCCCAACCCCAGTCCAGCCATTAGTGCCAACTTCTCTTCTACAACTGAGAACAGCACCTGGGTGTCCCAACTCCCAGAACGCTGATAGGGATCCTGTCATTTTCATCTCCAGGGGCAGTGGTGATGATGTCATCTCCTCCTCCCAATATGTTGGATTCACTCCCTCCTCCCCGGGGACAGCTGGAGAGAGAACCAAGAGTCCTGGGGCAACAGCAAGTGTCAGACCTGACTACAGAGCCCAGCATTTGGTGCGGCACAGAGCCAACGTGGCCACCTCAGAGCAGAATGCAGAAGGACTGAAGGACAAGGACTAAGTGTGGGTTTCCCAAGAGCAGGAGAACAAGGGACAGGGCAGTTTCCAAAGCAGCCAGTGACACACACGGCCCTTACCGCAAAAATCCCAGTGAGCAGGACCACAGCAATGAAGATGCAGACAACGGCGATGAAGACAAAGGAGCAAGATTGCAGGGGAGTCTGGGGCTCCCAGGCTGCTGCTGGAGGAAGAGAAGAAAAGGATGAGTTATTGCTCTGTGAGATCAAATGGAGCAAAGCTATGCTTCCCTGCTTGGTATATGGCTCATGTCATGTGTGGGGCACCCTGTGGACATGGGGCTGATGGTGTCACTATCCATTTATGTCAGCATGGTGCCTGTTGCTATAGCAACAGCACCTCCCTGGAGATAAGAACTGTCACAGCATCAGGACAGGGATTGCCTGGCTTCCTTCCCTCCCCATTCCCGACCTGGGGGCAACCTGGGTTCTGGGTTTCACATCCACTTACCAGGTACAGTGTCATCTCTGGGGGCATCAGCTGTGATGGCATCATCTCGAAGGGTGTTGCTAGTGACACCATCAGTGATGATGTCATCTCTGGGGACATCAACATCTCCAGAAGTGGTGATGTCACCTCCAAGGATAGTGCCATCACCTGCAGGGGCATTCATGACTAGATCTCCAGGGATGCCGATGTCTTCAAGAGTGTCAGAGGTGGCTGCAACATCTCCTGAGACAACAGCAGGGGCGTCTCTGGGGATGATGATGGCATCTCTGTGGGTGGCAGCATAAGGAGTGACCTCTTCAGGTGGAATAGCAGTAACAGAGACAATGTCTCCAGGAGCCTCATCATCTCCGTGGTGGGTGCTGGTAATAGAAGCATCTCCAGGAATGGTGGCAGCAACAATGGTGTCATTTACAGAGACAGTCACAGCAGTGGTGGTGTCTCCAGGGATGGTGATACCCATGGTGTCCTCACAGGCAGCAGCAGTGGCGGCAGTATCACCCACAGGTGCAGTGGTGATGGCATTATCTTCTCCAGGGGCAGCAGTGGTGATGGCATCTGTGTCAGACCCTCCCAGCACAGCAGAGATGGTGTCACTTCCTGGGGTCGTCATGATGGTGTTATCCACAAAGGCCACAGGCTTGGTGCTAGCATCTCTGGAGGCTGTGGCAAAGTTACTCATATCTCCAAGGGTAGCTTTGGTGACAGTAACATCCACAGGGGCAACGGTGATGATGTTAGTGTCTCCAGAGGCAGCAGTGGTGTGGGTGGCCCCTTCAGGGCTGGCAGCAGAATCAGTGACATGTGCGTGGGGAGCAGCAGCTGTGACAGGGTAGTTTACCAGGGGGGCAGTAAAGACATCATCCTTTCCAGAATTAGCAGCAATGGTGATGTCATCATCCCCTGGGGTGGCAGCAATTATGTCATATCCATGGGCAGCAATGATGGTATCATCGTCCTGGGCAATAGCACTGGTGCCTTCTCCAGAAATAAGAGTAGTGGCATCGTCTTCCTCTGGGGCACTGGTGATGGTGATATGGACAATGGGGTCTCCAGGAATGGCAGTGATGGCCCCATCACCCCTGGAAGTGGGGGTGAGGGTAGCCTCCTCACCCTCAGGAATTAGGGTAGAGGCAGCCTCCTCATCCCCAAAGACTGAGGTGATGGTGATAGTGACGATGGCATGATCAGAAGGGACAGTCATAACCTCATCTCTTCCAGAGGTGGTGGTGATGACAGCATTGGTGTCCCCAGGAAGAGGGGTGATGGTGGTGTCAGTGTCAGCCTCCTCAGGAACAGTAGTGATGGTGGCCTCAGCCTCAACAGGGGTGGTGGTGATGGTGCCCTTGGCATCTTCAGAAGCAGTGATGATGGTGGCCAGAGTCTCCACAGGGGCCGTGGGGATGGCAGTCTCAGTATCAGCCTCCCAAAGGGTGGTAGGGATGGTGGTGTCCGTGTCAGCCTCCCCATGGGTGGTGGCAATAGTGGTGTCTTTATCAGCCTCCCCAGCGGCAGTGGCGATGGTATTGTCAGTGCCAGCCTCCCCAACAGTGGTGGTGATGGCAATATCTGCCTTCCCAGGGGCAGTGGTGATGGTGTTGTCAGTGTCACCCTCCCCAGGGGCGGTGGTGATGGCAGTATCAGCCTCCCCAGGGGTAGTGGTGATGGCAGTGTCAGCTTCCCCAAGGGTGAAGGTGTCGATGTCAGGGGTAACCTCCTCAGGGGCCGCAGTGATGGTGATGGTGACGACAGAATCCACAAGGGTAGGAGTGATGGCATCATCTTTTTCAGGGATGATGACATCTCCATGAGCAACTCCATCTCCAAGGGCAACAGTGACAGCTCTGTCATCTCTAGGAGTAGTGGCAATAACATCTTCATGGTGGGGGGTCTTGGCTTTGTCTCCTTCAGGGAGGGTGCTGATGGGAATATTATCATTTCCATCTCCAGGGGCAGTGGTGATGATGTCATCTCCTCCTCCAGGGGTGGCAGTGACAATGCCATCTCCTCCTCTGGGGGCATCAGTGAAGACATCATCTCCTCCTCTAAGGGCATCAGTGACGGCATTGTTTCCTTCTCCAGGGGTATCAGTGATGGCATAGCCCTTTCCGGGTGTGTCAGTAATGGCATTGGCTCCATCATCACCCCCAGGGGCAGCGATGATGGTTATAGGGATGCTGACCTCTCCAGGGGCAGCAGGGATAGTGCCATCTCCCTTATAGCCAGCTGTGATGGTGTCATCTTCTCCTTCAGGGGAAGCAATGACCTCATTTTCTGTAGGAGCAGAGAAGATGTCATCACTTTCTCCAGCATTGGCAATGATGACATCATTACCTTGGCAGGTAGCAATGATGTCATTTTCTTGCAGGACAGCAGTGATGAGATCATTATCTTGATATGAAGTTGCAGCAGCAGCATCCTCTCCAGGAACAGCAGGGGTATCTACAAGGGTAGCAGTGGTGTCATCATCACCAGTGGCAACAGTGATGTTATCATCATCTTCTTCTTCTTCTTCTTCTTCAGGGGCAGCAGTGATGGTGATAGTGACAATAGCATCTCCAGGAACAGTGGTGAAAGTGTTTTCTTCTTTAGTGGGGGCAGTGGTTGCCTCAGTTTCTCCAGGGTTGGCAGCAGTAGCAAGGGTGTCTCCAGGGGCAGCTGTAATGCTGTCTATGACAATGGCATCTCCAGAGAGAGAAGGGGTGACACTAGAGACAGCAATGGGAAAGCTGTCTGTGGAAGCAGTAGTTATATCCCCCTCCTCAGGAGGGGCATTGGTGGTGACAGAGGTGATAGTGTCTCCAGGAGCAGCAACAGTGCTGACATCTCCAAGGATATCAGTAGTGAACACATCTCCAGAGGTGATGGCAGCACTGTCCCTAGGTGTAGTGGGATCACCCGGGCTGAAGGTGGTGGTAGTGATGTTATCGCCAAGCGTAATGGAGTTGATGGTGCTCTCTCCAAGAGGCAAGGTGGTCGTAAGGGTGTCTTCCTGAGTGGCAATGTCCTCTCCAGAGGCTGTGGAGGAGGTGAAGTCTCTAGAGTTGGCAGTAAAGGCCTCAGGGGTAGTAGCAGTGTCTCCAAGGGCAGCAGCAGGATCTTCAGGACTGGAAATGGTCTCTTTGGGAATAGTGATGTTCCCTGAAGTTCTTCCCTGGGTTGGCAGGGTCCTTTCCAGATTAAGGGCCTCTATGTCCCTAAAGGTAATGGTCCCAACATGGGCAGCGCTGGCTGCAACAGAAGTGGGAGCCTCACTAGAGGGGCCGCTGTCCCCAGGAACATGAGTTTGTTCCACAGATTTGTTCTCACTGGAGGTGCCAGGGTCATCGGGGACATTTCTGGCCCCAAAGAGGTTGGCTTTATTATAGGTGGCTATTGATGCATGAGTTCTGGTTTCGCTGAAGGCTGGGAACTTTCCAGAGCTAACTGTCTCCCCAAGAACAGAAGCTGTCCCAGAGACAGAGGTGGTGGCTTTTCCAGAGACTATAGCTAGGATGTTATATCCTGGAGTGGTAACAATTGTGCCCTCACCATGGGCAGTCATGGAAGGATTTCTAGGGGCAGTAGCCCCTCCAGGGCTGGAGGCAGTGTCAGTGTCTCTAGAGTTGGGGGTGATGTTTCTACGCCTGATGGTAGTATCTCTATCCCTGGGGGTGAAAATGGCATCTACCCCTCTAAGACTGATGGTGGCATCTCTGTCTCTAAGGATGGTGTTTACTTCTGTCTCTATGATAGTGGGTGTTGTGCCTCCATCTCCAGGGGTGACAGTGCCATCTTCATAAGCAGCAGTGGCAGCCATGTCCTTCTCTCCATGAATGGCTGCATCCCTGTCTCCATAGGTACCAGTCTCCCAGGGGCTACTGGCAGTCCCAAGAATAGTGATCCCATCAGCTATACCACCATCCCCAGTGCTCATAGTTGTGCTCACACCACCAGGCGGGCTGGCTTTTCCAGGATGGACAGATGTCACAACTCTACTGGCTGTGTCCATTTAGCTTCTTAGTACAGATGGTACCTGCAGGTGGAAAACAAGAACCCAGGAGAAGTCATATGATATCTTTGTGTGAGACACTCTGACATCTAATCGTAATTAGGAGCACTTCTCACCTACCAGAATTTGGAGCAGCCTCCATTATAGAACTGATTAGGAAAAAAACATCTTTTTTTCATGAGAAATGTCATTTCTTTGGCAAAAATTCAAATATCAACATGTTAAAGAACAACATTGTCCACGGTATTTCATTGTTTTGAGAATTTGGGTTTTGATGTTTTGTTTTTTACGTTAAAAAAATCCACCTCATTTTGGAAAGAAAATTAGATTTTCTTGTAGACTTAATTTTCCAATAAAGAGCAGTTCAGATAGATATTTCTCAACTAGTAATGAAATTAGTGTGCCACAGCCTTCCGCAGCTCATAAAAAGGAAGAAAAAATGAAATTCTATAAAATTTGGAAAGTTCAAAAATGGATCTTTTTTACATTTTCATCTTATTTTCAAATGCTTATTGAGATTTATCAGTACAGTTCTTGAAACACACTCTGGGAGAAAAAGGTTTTGATAAAAAGATAACTTCTTTTCTAGTTAAAAGCAAAGAGTATCGGAAATTGCATGAAAAATGTCATTTAAGAAATAATTTTGAGGCACAAAAAGACTTATTTTGTTTGAAATATTTCAACTAGCTCTATTAATTTCAAGCCAGCAATAATAAATAACTGTAGGAAATATGAAACGTTAAAAGTCTGTGTCATACAGACAACTCTGAGCAGGGATGGAAAGCACTCACCCCACTATCAAACAAGGTCATTCTCATTATTTACCGACTCATTAGTTCCAACCAAAAGTATACTAAAGAGATTTATTAATTCAGTCTTTGTCTCTGAGGAAGAGTTTTAGTGAGTGGCTGAAAACTTGTCTAAGTCTATCTGAACCATGCAGATGATCCAATAAAAAGTATCACCCACAAACATTTTTGCATCTCACATATTTCCTGAACCGTCATAACTGCAACATCACTCCAGCACTACATTAAGAAAAAGGTTACGTTGCATCGATGCTATTTAAGTTAGCGTGAATCAAAAAAATAAAGGTATAATTTTGGACTCACAAAATTATGTTTTAGGAGCATGCAGTATATGTGCAACCACCCATAAAGCTATTTCTCTTGTAGCCTGGGAAATGAGAAAAGAGCGAGCATACTAAGATCTAATAGCAGACAGACAGTATGGTAGGTGGTTGGGAAGCTAGGCTGTCAGACTGAGAGGTCTGAACAGAGAAGGAAGGGTGGACAGACAGACATATAGACATAAAGACAAATAATAGGACATGGAGAGATTGGAGAGAAAGATAGATACTTTCCGTGTTCCAGCCGGCAGTCAGTCCGCTGAAGCTGGGGAAGTAGGACAGTTTCTGGGCTGTGCTGCTGGAAGCCTCGTTACTATTTCAATCACTGTTTCTCATCAGGGGGATGTTAAACCAATTATCTCCAGGATCCTGATTTTTGTCTTGATGACCCCTTCAAGGACAGGAAAAAATAATTCTCTCCTTTACTGAGTGAAATTAATAGAGGTCAAAATGCCAACTGACTGGAGAGCCAGGACTCCTGGGCTCTACATCGGGCGTGGAGGAGTTGGCCATAATTGGGAGCAGTGGGTTCTAGTCCAAACTCTCGGAAGAACGTGGGGTCTAGTGGTTTAAATTTGGTGTGGAGGGGGAGTAGTAGCCTAATGATGGATAGGCAAACTGAGCCCAAATCCCAGCCACTGCCTAAGGCAGTGTGATGAGAGGGAGCTGAAATGGAGTTGGAGTGGGCACATCCCCTCACCTCCCATCTGCCATCCCTGCACCCACTCTTGCCCTGGTTCCAGCTCCAGCTCTAGGGAGGGCAGAGTAGCAGTGGCCAAGGGGATTTGCTGTTGTGGGGGAGAGATGTCACCTTCTTCTTCTGCTGCTGAAAATCAGCATTTAAATGGCTAGAGTCTTCTCATCTGCACAATGCCTAGTTACAGTAATTAATTCCACAGTTTCATCCCCAATGCCGCCTACAGGACATTTAATGGTCAGTCCTTATCCCCAAGGTCTAGATCAGAAGCAGGGTGAGGGCCTGGCAGGAGCCAGCCCTAAAGCCCAGGTTCCCGGCCCAGCCCACTGGAAGGCTGGAGTTTTGGCTCACAGATGCTGATGGGACCTGTTCACTCAGTGTCATAAGCAGTAGCCTAATAATGGATGGGCAGAGGGCCTAAGCCCAGCCACTGCCTACAGTTTTTACACCCCCTTGGTCTTTACAGAAACAGCACAAGGACCTTCAAGATCAGCTGCAAACTAAGCATGACATAGGCAACCAGGTGCAGAGCAAGCAGCTGAGCTGAAGGTGTCACAGGAGGCGAATGCATCAAGGCCACCCAAGAGGGCTAAAAATGACACACTAATTACATAGGTGTAAACTTGGAGGAGGGGGAGAGGAGGGTGGAAGGAGGGAACCTGTGCCTGGAAAAGGGTAATAAATACATTTACTTTTTCAAGTTTTGCCTTAAGTTTCTGATCCCACTTCAGATATGCAGCTGCCACTGGGGAGGAGGCACCTGGGTAACAGCCCCATGGTGAAATTGTCCCAGTGTTGCTCACTCAGCACCGAGATGCAGACAGTTCCAGGTTAGAGCACAGCAGTAGCTGAAGTAACCAAAAAGCGGGGAGGGGGAATGCAATGACATGGTATATGCAATCGCTTCTGGCTGCCCTGCAGTAGCTGTGTGACAAGACTACCCCCGTCCTGCCTGAACAGAGAACTTGCAACTTGGCCACTCAGCTCTCATTTAATGACCATGTCTGCTGGCTTCCTTGCCAGATCCAACCCTCTGATCCCTCCCAGGCCCCTGTGCACCAGCCAGGACCCCCTAGTCTGAGCCAGCTCAGCACCAGCACCACACACAGGGGAAAGGCCCAGTTTCCCATTCTCCAGCCCAGCCCAATCTGTTCCATGATGAGACCATTTTTTCCCATTAGCTTTAAGTTAATTGCAGTAAAACCACCATCAGGACTAGGGTGTGACTGAGCTAATACCTGCATAGAAATGCTCTCTCTCAAAGGAGCTACAAAGGCAGTTATTTAAACACGTAGGCAGCCTTATCTGCCCTCTGCTTGGCTTGCAGGCTAGACAGGGTGGCTGTTGGAGGTACTCGTGGGAGACCCTGGTGACTAGAGGGAGTTGATCCAGCCATTGGAGTTCCTTTTAAGATCTTCCTTGTTTCTCCAAGCTCATGAATCCTGCCAGGCAGCTGTGGCTTTTTCATTAACCATGGTCTCCTAGTCAAAATCCAACTGCAGGCTTGAAATCATTGGAGGTGAGCTGACCAGGTGCTCATGAAAAGCTCAGCTGTTGATGCAGCTTTGGATCATCCGGCTTCTGTTCCTTGGGCCTGAGCAGGAGAAGCTAGATTGCGAGTTCACGGTGGAGGCTTAAATGCTGCTGACGGGGGCGGGGTGCATATGCTGGGTGTTACCATGAGCACATTCATACTCTGCTCCAACCCAGAGGTGGCTGCATCCTAGGACCAGACTAGCAATCCTGGTGTAATCTCTCTAACCTCCAGCATGGGAGGGCAGGGGTGGTGATCCTCTTGTAGTCTTTGGTTACATCAGATGCCCCATGGCAGGAGGTGGAGGAGGGCCAGGCAGGCCTTCTGATCCCCCTGGGACCAGAATTTAGAGCTAGGCCTTCCCACTTTGCAGCTCCTCAACCCTCCTCTCCCCTCCTGAGCAGTAGTAGCCTTGTGCACTGCAAGCTGCAACAGCTTAAAGCAGCAGCTTCCTTGCTGCAGTCTCTTCCCCTCTCCCTGGGCCCAATGAACCTGGATTCAGCTGTCTTTGTTACTCAGGAAGGGGATAAAGAATAAGCCTTCCCACTGCCCTCTGCCCCCCAACCAGCCACTGGGGAAGGCAAAGCTGCTGCAGTGCCCCCTTCTGCTACCTGGGGGAGGACCTCCAGCCTAACCAACTGCTTTTTCAAAGAGGAGGTGCTGGCTGGCAGCACTTCTGGGCAGTAGCATGACTAAGAGAGATTGAGATTTGCATCCCAACTTCCCCAAATCAATGCATGAAGAGCATGTCCAGGGTGCAGAACTGCCCAATTCTACCTCTGCTCCTGGCCTTTGTGTTTATTCTAGGCTCTGGGACAGTAGTGGGTTGTGGTTAGAGTAAGGGGGAACAGACTTGGGACTCTTGGGTTAGCAAAGGTAGGTGTGGGTCCCAATTAACAGACTAAGACATTGTAAACTCCAATCTCAAATCTGGCACTGAGTTCCTGGGTTGTTTTCTCAGCTCATACCTCAGTTTCCGGTAGATGGAGCTAATAATCTTTCCTGGGTGTATTTGTATCATGGTTCACTCTCTGTATGTATCTGTGCAGTAGCTGCTGCCAAGGGGCCCTGATCTCAGCTGGGGCAGGGGCTGTCTTTCCCTGTGTGGTGGTCTCCATTAGAGTATCAAGGCATGGAGGAAATTAGAAGAGTAACATGGAGGTGATAAAATGCCAAAGACTCATGCTACACAAACAAGTAGAAAGAAGGGTGTGGGTCAGATCTAGGATACATCCAACCAACTCCTGAGTCAAGAGCTAGTCATCATTATTGGTCCCAAAGAAAAGCTACAGGTACCTGACATGTTCTCATTCTACTTATCTGCTAAGTGAACATGGCTCAAATGGGAAAGAGGCTGGTGTACATGTGTGTGAACAAAAATGCAGGATTACATGGGTGTGGATTTCAGAACAATTAACTCCCAAGCCCAGAACTCTGTTACCTTTAAAATCATAGATTCATAGATGCTAGGGTCAAAAGGGACCTCAACACATCATCGAGTCCGACCCCCTGCCCTGGGCGGGAAAGAGCGCTGGGGTCAGATGACCCCAGCCAGATGCCTATCCAGCCGTCTCTTAAAGACCCCCAAGGTATGGGAAGAGCACCACCTCCCTTGGAAGCCGTGTGTGTCCTTCTTGCTACCAAAACTGATGGGAGCCAACATAACACTAGAGGTAAATCATTCATGAGGCCAATGGTTGTCATGTAAAAGCTGTCTCAGTGGTGTCTAAAGATCTCAGCACAGTCAGGGCCTCATTATGCTAGGTACTATACATACACATAGCGGGCGCTGACCGACATGCAGGTTCTTGCTGTAACTCATTCACAGGAAGCACCATAGGGTACAATGTTCCCTCCCCCCTGACCCAAGAGACATTCACTGTTGGGTCCGCGGGTTGGGGGATCAAGCTCCAATTCGGAGTGGCCGCATATCTGCAGCCTCTCTCCTTTAGCTTTGCACCACCCCCCAACTCCTGAGCTATCTTCAGAATGGGAGAGGTGGACTGGAAAGGAAAGGGAGGGAGCTCAGCCCAGGGTTTGGCCAGTGGTGGAGGGCCAGGTGGATGGATTGGAGCACCCATCACAGTGGGACTCCAATCCACCTGCTCCACCCTCCAGCACCGCTGGGCAAACCCCAGACTGAGCCCCCTCCCCTCTCTTTCCCCCCTCCCATTCTGAAGACAGCATCCAGGGTGGGACTGGGCTGCATCAGCCCAGCCCTGCTCCTGGTGCGCACTGATAGACATTGATGAAGGTATTCCACTTCAAGCGCCTTCATCTGAACCCACATGTAATAAGGGTTCAGATTGTCATGCGATTTGGCACTTTTAACGCACCTGCAGCCATGCACTTCTGTGCGGGCACAGCTGTAGAGCACTTCAGGGGGCTGATCATGTGACAAACCGTCATTTCTGTCAGCACCCAGCAAGGCAGTCCCTGGCGTGAAGGTCATTCAGTCAGCACTGGGATTGCTCATCCGGTGGGCTAAAACGCAGCCAGCCTCTGGAGTGGTGCATGGCTGCTGGTTAGCGCTCTTGCAATACGATTGCACAGGGATCGCTTACCCGGCCCTGAAATGCAGCTGCTTCTAGGGAGGGCCTCAGTACTGGTTAACAGCAGCAGCAACATTGCACAGGGATCACTTACACTGAAGTTCTCCTGATTCACAGCAGAAAGAGAACGTTTTAACAGTGGGGTGGGGATGGAAATTTAGCTAGGAACATGGTAGCATCTTCATCAGGGAGCTACCATAAGGATGGTTTTGGCCCAGGTGGTTTTACTGACCTGGCAGGGAAGATTCCCTTCTTCTTGGCCTTGAATGACTCGATGTAGTTGAGGGTGGAGACCTGGCCATTGCAATGAGGGTAGGCACCCCTACGACAGTGTGCTTTAGCTTCCCAATGGGAAGATCTCAGCTATACAATTTATGGTGATGGGGGATTGCTCTTGGGCTCTCCCTCTAGCTTGCTCCTTCAGCCTTTTGTCTAGCGGTGAGAAAGACTAGGGGCTATCTGTACTCCGATGCTTCCAAGCTTGGGGCTTGCATGCAGGTTGCCTGCCAGGGATTTGGGATTATCTGAAGCCTCAGGCTGAAAAGTCTGGGAGGGAGGACACTTGCCGGTGGTAGTACCACACAGACGTTGTGGTAATGTCAGTGTGGTGCTACCATATTCAAGTCTATGTGGTCATTGAAGTTTATGTGGTAGTGCCACACAGACTTGAATGACCGAACTCTGCTCAGCCAACAGAACTGATTTGGCTGATTTGGCCCAAGATGCAAAATTTAAAAAAAAAACAAACTTTTCAATCAAACAGAATCTTTCCAGAGGGGTTGCTTACACCGGGACAATAAGGAATGATCAGACGAATCATCTACTGGTAGTTCTGTATTTCATTTGTCTTAGTTTTCCTGAGTAACCTCCCCAGCCAAGCCTTAGAAGATTGTCTCTGGCTCAGGCCACATTTGGATGTGACGCAGAACTCCCAGGATGGAAATTTCTGACCTGTGTTAAATTAGCTAAATGCTCCTGTTCTTGTTGCTAATTCAACCTTTCCCCCAGGGGCAAGAAGGAAATGCTCTGAGATTCCTGCTCCTTTTAAAACGGTCTTTATTAATTGCAGTCTGTGATGTCATGCAAGGAGGGGGGGTGGGGAAAACCCCATAGAACCTAAAGACCTGGCTTTCCCCAGGGCTCTAATACACTTAGCAAAAACACAGGTCTCCCCTGGGTCAGTCCGTGCCAGATGTAGCTTCCCTGTCACACCATGCAAGATGGGCAGGGCTTGCCCCAGCTGGCAACAGAGTGAAAAAGAGAAGCAGAACAAATCTACGCATATGGTAGTGAATGACCCCATACTACACAGAATAAGGGGCGTGTGTCATAGTCCATAATGCTGACAGAGAGCCATGAACTCTTCCAGCTCACACAGCTTATAGTAAAGATGATGGGAAGCCAGGATTCCTGGGCTCTATCTACAGCTCCAGGAGGGGAATGGGGCCAGAGCCACTGGCATTTGCAGATCCCGAGCCATGGGAGCTCTGTCTGAGCTTTATGGGGTTTTGCCCATTACCTAGGAACAAGACCATAGTGATCCTGAATGTGTTCTGGCTGCCCAGAAATCAGACTGTCCTGGTCTGTGTTTGTTGGGTGTATCCCCATTACCTTTTACTGGGATTATGGGGTATGGACCTTGCCACCCCAAGGAATGGGATGCTGGTTGTGCATCTGCGAGATGCTGCTCTGACCTCAGGGGCACAGGGTGATCTGGGCACGGTGGGACCAGAGCCAGAAGAACGGGAAGATCCTCTCTGTGAAGGAGGCCCTGAATGTGAAGAGCAGGGCCTGGTCCTCAGAATTAGCAAAGGTCACCCGCCCTTCTTCATAGTCCAGACAGACCTGGATCCTGCTTAGCCTGCACTCTGGGCCCTCCTGAGGCCGTGCAGGCCCAAAGGGAAGCAACTTGTACCGTCCCAGCTCTACAGCCCACACGCCATTCTGGGGCAGGAGGCCCATGGGCCCTTGCCTCCTCACCGATTCCTTCGCTACACCCACGGCCCAGCCGTCCTTACCCTCCACCCGCACCTCCCAGATGTGCTGGCCCGAAGAGAAACCCTCAGAGCCCAGGATGCAGAAGGCAGGGAAGAACCGCTGGGGGTCCCGGGGCTGGGAACGCAGGACCTTCTTCCCGTGCCTCACGCTCCGTCGGTCTGGTGACACCACTAGGCCAGGGTGAGCCGAGGAAGCATCCAGGGTTAGGATCTCTGGGAGGGCAAAGGGGGAAATTGGAGTCAGTCTGTACCCAGTCTGTACCCAGGGCTAATACTGAGCAGCTCCCTGTGATGCTCTTAACAAGGATCTCAAAGCAGGCCAGGGTGCTGTAGGGCATAAACAGGGATAGCCTCTGCTTAGGAAACCTGGCAGCTGTAATGATTTTCTGCAATACCCCCCTGGTGTCGCCCTGCAAAAATCAGCACGTGGCTGCGAGACAGCCCCCTTTACCCTTGCTCTGCACCATCTCGGCCCACAGGGCACGCCTCTTGCAGGAGATGTGCCTGACGGTCTCTTCCAGGCTGTCAGTGGGCACAGGGTCCCACCTGCGAAATGTCGGCATCTTGTACCTGCAGGAAGAGATATCCCCTTCACAAGGGCATGTGTGTTTGCAGTGCCAGGGTCAGCTGCTCTCAGGGGTGCTGGCTCCAGGGGAGTTGAGAAGCCAGGTCTTGCAAATAGTTATCTTGAGAGCCAGGAGCCTGAGTGGGTTCTTCACAACCGGGGCAGGGATGGCCAATGATAAAGGGCCGGAAGGGACAAATGGGACCCCATTTAGTCCCATCCTCCCCCACTGGGGCTCCAACACCACCCTTCTGAGACTCCCCTCCCCGCAGACCCCACCTAACCTGTCCTGTATGGTTCCCCCTGTAACCCCTGAATGGCCCCCATATACTCTTGTCCCGTTCTGTTCCCACAATAAACCCCATGGGACCCGACTCATTGCTTCCCCCAGCCCAAACTGCCTCTTCCCCTCTGTGACACCCACATTTCCCAGCCCCCAGCCCGCCCCCTCCCCATCTGCCAAGGGTAAGAAGGAGCCTCCTACCTGCTCAGGGTGCTTTTGGCATCCTAGTTGGGAAAGAAAAAGAAGAGCCTCTCAGACCTCTAGCCACAGAGTAGGGTGTTGCAGCAGGGGGTTGGGGAAGAGGGGGGCTGGGAAGTGCCCTGTCTAGGCAAGGGACATGGGGTGGGATGGGTTTGGGTGGGAAAGCAAGTGCCTTAGAGGCAGGGTGTATTTCTGGCATTAGAGTATCTTGGAGAATGGTACTTGGCTTGTGGGTTCTGCCCTGCTGGATACAATCATAGGTCAGAGCCCCTGCACTGCCCAGAACCCAGGGAGATTCTCCTATGGGCTGAGAGCAGGGGAAAGCCAAGAGTGAGGTTTTGGTGGAGGGGATGGCACCTCTCCTCCCCCCAGATTCAACCCTGCCCAGGCACCCTCACCTTGAGGAGCTCCAAGTCAGGAAGCTGGCACCTTCGCTCCAGCTCAGTAATCAGCCCGTGGAGAACCAGCACCTCCTGCTGGAGTGAGGCCATGTTCTCCTGGTGCAGCTGCCTTAGGCTCTGCGCCATGCTGTCCAGCCCCTCCAGGAGGGGCTGCTCCTTCTCCTGCAGCAGCTGGTGCAGCTGCTGGAAAGTGGAGGTGACCCGCTGCCTCTCAGCCTTCACGCGTGCCTATGATGGGCAGAAAAGTTGGTTGGGGTGGTCAGGCTGGGGAGTGGGGCACGGCTTCTAGCACCACAGAGCCAGCCAGGGCATCCCTACCCAGGGGGCAGAGCAAGTAGCAGACAGAGTGGGGTTCGGAGACAGGTGGACAGAGAGAAAGCAAGGGTGTACGTCAAAACTATTTTCCAGTATAAAACTGGAAACTGCTGAAGAACATGTTGCTGATGTTGCTGCCCCAGAAAAATAGACTTTTGATTGAAAACGTAACATCTAGACAATAAAAAGAAGAGAATGTATCTGTAAACCTTTATCCTTTGTTTTTTGACAGAAACGTAGACATTTTCCATTAAAAACCACTGACCCAAACAATTTCTCCCTGCACTTCCACCTCATTTTTTCCACAGGAGGAAATAAATAAATTAATAAAAGAAAAAAGCACAACACAACCCATTTTCCAACCATCTCAAGGGAGAAACAAGAGGATGGGCAGACACGCAGAGGGAAAAAAATAAAAGAGACTGGGAAGAACATGCCTAGGAAAGATCAGGCTGAGCTACACAGGGCAACTGATTAGAAAAGAGTCACCCTCCATGCAGAGATGTTACTACAAAGCAAAGGCAGACAAGGGTCTTTGGGTAGATGTGAGATCTTTTGTTAGAGCAACTAAATAGTTGGGAAAAATGTTCTTTGCCAGCTTTCGGGCACAAACACCCGTCTTTGCCCTTCTTTTTGTGCCCAAAAGCTGGCAAAGAAAAAAATTCCAACTATTTAGTTGATCGAACAAAAGATATCACATCTACCCAAAGACCCTTGTCTGACTATGTCCTTAAACCAACGCAGCTACAGCCATCACCCCTAGGAAGCAGAGGTCACTTTGTTCCAGGGCACAAATGCTTCCAGAATAAAAATCAACTCCTCCAGAGAAAAGTGTTCCCACGTGGGGCCTTTCTGCCATGACTCTACCAGTCATTCACTTCAGGTCAACAAGCTCAAAGATGGAGAGGTGCAGAACGTGGGGAAGTGGATGAGTTGAGGGGGCAGAAAGAGAAAGGAGAGCAAGATATAGAAAAAGACAAAGTAACAGGCAGGGGGGAAGAGGGGAGAGACACTTTGAGGGATGGGACAGAAGAAGAGGTGAATACAAGAGGTAGAAAGACAGGTAAGGAGACATGAAAAGATGAAGCAGCGCAGAGGTTTTTTGTTGTTGTTGTTTTTTACTTTTATCCGCGGGCAAATCAGCGAAAACTAATTCCAAATCCAAGTGTCCAGAACCATAAGTGGCCCTACTACTGGCAAACATCCTCCACCCCCACCTGGGGCTTCAGATGTTTCCAAAAACTTTGGCAGGCATCCTACTTGCCGGCCCAAGCCTGGAGGCTTGGGGTTCGGATGCCCCAAGGTTTTACTTGCCCTTAGCCATAAGGGCCTCAGAGCAAGCAAGGAAAGCAGTACAGAGTTAAGGTAGATGGATATATGGACACCCGAAGCTGTTCCCAGCCACCGAAATGCCATTACCCAGCCCAGGAGAGCTCCCTGTGGCCCAGATGACTAGCCAGTTCTTCCTGCCAGAGGGCAGCTCCTAATCAGGTCATGACTTGGGGTGCAGACAAGGACACTCAGCTTGTTTGACCACCGCCTCCCCACCAACCCCACAGTGCTCTCGCTCACGGTCCAGGCTGTGGATCTTAGAAACCCAGGCTTGAGCAGGCCAAAAGTTTGGCAACCCTTGAAAGCAGCTTCTCTAGGATGAGGCTGTCCTTGTCAGGGGTGGGGAGGCAGGGTGGCCTGGGGGCCCACCACCTGGAGCACAAGTAGAGGAGTAACACCATGAGCTCATAGCAGGAGTAGAGCTGTCATCCTTATTTTGGACCCACTGCCAGAGAAGGGATCCAGGGGGTCTCTCCTAGTGGTCTCGGACTGCATTTAATCATCAGATCCCAGAAGCAGCTTAGTACTGTTAGGCCGCTCATTACCCTCCATGGGAATTTGCACAGGAAGGGGTGAAGAAGGGACAGGCAGGAATCCCAGGCAGTCAGGAAAGAGCACTTACCTGCACGCCATCTATTCTCCTCCCTTCACTGATGGTGAGAGCCTCCCTGCTCTGCTTCTCACACTTCAGACTCTCCAGGTGCTTATGGAGTTTCTCCTGCCAATTGATAGATGTGAGGGGCTGTAAGGGACCTCTCAAGATCATCAGGTCACTTCAGTGATGGAGAAAAGGGGAAACACTTGACTAGGGGCTTGGGAGACCTGGGGGAGAGGGAGGGGGAGCGTCTCACAGCTCTGCCACCAACTGCCTGTGCCACCTTGGGCAAGTCACTTAGCCGCATCTATGAAATGGGGGATGATGCTTCTTTTGCCCGTGTGGGTTGAGCAATCTCCACACCGAAAGTCCTTCCAGAGGTGGGATATCTTAGACTAGGTTCAGGGCAGAAGGGCCTGAACAGGGTGCATCAGCTTTGCAAACATACCACTGGGCTCAACTGGACAGTGGTGGGTTAATCTGAAACATTAAACAGGTCAGATACAGAGAGTGAGCTCAGGACTCCTGGTTTTTACACCCAGCTGTGGCAGGGAAGTGGCATCTTGTGGGTTAGCGAGGGTGGGCCCGGGAGCCAGCACCCCTGGGTTACAGCCTGGCCTTGCTGGGGGGGATAAATCTAGGAAGGAAGAGAAGGCAGTCTGGGGGCAGGGGGGTCCCTGGCCAGCTCAGGGATGGTGCTTGTGGTCAGAGGAGGAATGGGACAGCTCAGTTCTGTGTCCAACAGGAGGCAGGTGCCAAGCCCAAGAGGTGAAGCGTGAGGTGTCCTTTACCTTGTATTCCTGGGTAGCCTCCTCTCTGGGAACCACAGCGTGAGCTCGGTGCTCCTGGGACCGGTCGCACACCACACAGATCAGCGCCTGATCCTCCTGGCAGTACAGATGGAGGGCTTCCCCATGTTTCTGGCACGTACCTGCTGCCGGCCTCTCGTGGCCAGCCTGGGACACCACCAGCTGGGCCTTCTCTACCACCGCCCCCAGCAGAGTGTTGGGCTGGAAACTCCTGCCCTGGAACCGCTTTCGGCACTGCGGGCAGGAGAGGTGTCCCTCCAGGCCCTCCCACACCACAGTGATGCAAGCCTGGCAGAAGTTGTGGCCACAGCACAGGAGCACAGGGTCCTTGAAGTAATCCAAGCAGATGGGGCAGCTCAGCTCATCCTCCAGGGCTCGGAAGGGGTTGGGGGCTGCCATGGCGGCCGGAGCGAAACAAAAGTGAAACCAATGTGTTGTTTTCCGCTCTCAGGGACTGCCCCCTGGAGCCTTGCCAGAAAGCCGATCTGCTGCCGTGGCTGTGGCTGAGGCTGATAAATAGCATGGAGGAGCTCAAATGAGACGAGGGAGGGGTAGGACAGGGTCCAGTGCATCTGGGTGCCTGGCTTCTATCCCCAGCTCTGCGAGAGGAGTAGGCGGCCTAAAAATGACTTTGGGATGACTGGGAGCCAGGATTCCTGGGTTGTTTCCAGCCCTGGGAGGGGTGAAGTCTAGTTGCTTAGAGCAGGAGCTGCTGGTTTTAATTCAACAGACTATTCTGAGATAAAGTGACTTTTCCCCATCTGTACAGAGTGCAACGGCTGCTCTGTCACTTCCCCTTTGTAAATGAGTAGCTCGAGCCTGTCTTCTGTTATGTTTCAAACACAACCTCCAGCACTTCAGCTTTCCAGAATCAATAAGCCACCGGACAGTTCTCAGACCCTTTGCAGCTCGCCTTGCTCCAGCTACTATGCTACTTCCCTTGGAGAGCTGGGGATGGGACCCAGGAGTCCTGGCTCCCACACTTGACCCATTGGACAAGAGTTAGAAGCTACTTTGTTTTTCTCCATCTCAGCTTCTTGGGTGAGAACCCCACAGTGCCAGGCCTGCACATGCTCACATTAAGAGCCTGACTGAGGGGTGGGGGCATGGGAGGAAGCACATAGCAGCCCAAGGTTACATAAAGGGTCAGTGGCAAAGCTGGAGAGTGAACCCTATTGTCACCTTTAAGCACAAACCCACTCTTCCCATTATGATCTGCTACAACTGCAATCACTCCTGTGAGTGGCACACGAAGCCCCACCAATTCCTTTACTGTACACATGCTCATATGCCCCTGAAGATTTACTGTGCTGTTCCTCCTCTAGCCTACGGCTCAGGACACCCAGGCTGCATCCAGAGGAGTGCAGACACATGGTATGTGGCACTGCAGATAGGTCTGCACCACAAATGCTACTTAGCAGCCTGGGGCCAGGTTTTTGACCCTGGGAGATCTTGGTGTCAAAAATATCCATGCCAAAAAAAAGTGGGGTGGTGCAGGTTGCGGCAGCGTGTGCCATTCAAAATCAGAGCCTGGCTGGCTGGAGCCACACTCTGGCTGCCAGCCAGGCTCCCTGGTGCATGAGCACCATGGGTGCTGCTCCCAGAGGCCCCAAGGTAAGGCTGCGGGGGCCAGAAAAACTGCTGGTCCCAGCCTCCCCTACCCCAGCCAGGGTAATTTGCCACATGCCATAGCGCACATGGCACAAGTGTTTCCTAGGGACAAGTAGCAGCAGCATAAGGTTTTCTGCTACTTGTCCCCGGGGAAACACGTTTCTGCTCAGGGAGACATGCCCTCACAGTCCATTCTCAGACCTGCCATTGACCCCCTAAAAGCCTTAACCAAGTCGCTGAACCAAACCTCCGTTTCCCCTAAAGTGGGGACTGGGAAGGGAACCCAAATCAACCCCAGCTCACAGCCCAAAGCCTCTCTCCAGTTGTATATCCTTTATGCTATATGAGAATGAAGTAGCAATGTACAGGACACAGACACACACACAGATGCTTAGCCTCCCCTTGGTAAGTTTTGCATTTGTTAATCTCTACAACTCTCAAGCTCTGTACAGCAATCGCTAACAAGTGAGACCCATACGTGGACATGAACACACACAGTGCATCAACCAAAGGAACACACACATCATCATCATCATCCCATCCACATCCTAACACTAGTAAAAAAAGGGACTGTGACACCTGCACTAGATGCCCAAATTTTGAAGGGGACCAAAATTACCCACAAGCTATCAGGAAGGGCCTGGCTTTCTTTGCAGCAAAGCCAGCACCACTGCAGATTAAATCTGCCCTGACTGAGTACAGCCTCTGCTTGGGTTTGTATGTCTCTATGTGGCCAGCAAAGACTGCTGCTCCATCAGCCAGGAATGTCACAAATCTGGCAACTCAGCTTTGTCTTTGTTCCAACTGCATGTGCAGGGGAGGGGGTCAGAGCTCAGGGGTTGGACCTGGAGTCTGTGGGTGAGAGGGAGTATGAGGTAGAAGCACAACCTAAAGAGGAAGCTTCTGCACAACATTTTATGCAATCAAAAACTGTCTTTACAACTTGTATATGGAGCGAGAGTGGCCCCTGATGGCCAGACCGGAGCAGCACACACCAGTGCTCTAATGCTAAAGCACCAAGTCTCACCCTCCAGCAGCTGTGACCTAGGGTCAAACCCCAGCCTGCTTCTCAGCCATGTTGCTCTTCAGCCACGCTGCCAGCCTTTGCTTCCCAATCACTCGAGTCCTTTCCACATCCAGCAACAGATCCTTCAGGTTGGTTCAGTAGCCCCATGATGCCTCATTTGTCAGTGGTCAAAGGATGGGTTCCTTGTGTGGCAGCCAAGCAGTGTAAGCGGTCCATGGCCTCATCCAGATTTGCAAGCTTCCTCTTAAGATTGGAGATCTATCAGGGAGGAAGAAGTGAAATCAGATGTTATCAACATCATGGGGTCACAACAGACACTCAGAGCCTTTGCCACTACTGACACATCCCCTACAGAATCTCTTGAGCCCCCGAAGCAGAAATACCCAGGTACACACACACACTCATCCACTGCAAGGACATGCACAAAACAAATGCACATGTACACACACGCCCTCTATATTTCCCCTCTGAAACCTCAATTCCTTATGGGTGAAGGAGGCTGAAAAAAGAGAAATGAAAACTGTTTGTGCACAAGAAACTGAGGAAGGATTCCAAAATTTTTCCTTGTTATTACAATTTTTTTTAATTGTTCCCCTTTTGAGCATTTTCTAAATGCAAATGAAGAAATGAAAAGCATTTCTTTTCAACAGATTTTTATTCCACCTGGTTTGCAAAGCACAGGGTAGCTCAGGGAAGAATATTTAAATTTTTTTTTTCTTGAAAGCTGGGTAAAAATAAAGAAGATTTAATTCTACTGAAAACACCATGAAAAATTTAGAGGCAAAAAGTTTGCTTTGAAAATATTCAGGCCCCAAAAGAATTTTAAAATATTGATGAAAAACACTTGTGGAGAATATGGATTAAACACTTTTTTTCAATTGTGCCTCATTGCAGATATGATCCCCACCCCCACCCAACAGCACCAGGAATCACTCATGGCTTCTCTTGTTCCCAAGTACAAACACACAGCCCCTTACACCCTTTCCCAGCCACTCTCACACCTTCATCCAATTCTCTGCCTGCGCTCCCTGGGAAACCTTCTCCTGATAGCTGGATGCCTGGGTCTGGGTCTGTGCCATGAGCTTTGAGAGCTGATGTTCCAGCTTCTGCTTCTGGGATGCCAGTTGGGTGAGCTTTACCTTGGGGTCAATCAGCGCCTGGGATTGTACAGGAGAGAACAGAAAAATGTTGAGAAGCCAGGTAAAATGGGTGGTAACCATGCCTCCCCCTTAATGGTGGTATTGAGTACCGCATCCTCATACTGGAGTGGAGAACAAGGACACGTACTCCAGGGTACAATCAATCCACAGACTCAATCTCTTTAAAGCACTCTTGCCAATGGCTGGATTTACCCCTCAGAGCAAGGGGAATCAGGCTCCAAGTAACCTAAATCCAGTTATGTCCCCCACTCCTGTCTTCTCCCTTATTCCTGGCCCCCTTCCACCTCAGACCTGAGGTCAGACATGCAGGTTAGAAACTCTTGCTGCCCCCTCCGTTGTCCTGTATCAGATGGATGAGCCCAGTTATGGCCCGCTACAGACCAATGAGCTCTAGGAGTCTCACCTGCCTCCTCCCTGCTACCACAGATCAGACCAATTGACTCATCCAGCCTTACATCTAGTGATCAGACCAGCAGGCCCATCTGGTCCAGGATCCTGCCTCTTATACTGGCCAATAACTGGATGCTACAGAGCAGGTTGGTGTTCAACCTTTCAGCCATGAGGGCTGGATGAGTAGCACAGGTCCCATCTACAGGCCAGATCCCATATGGGGTCAGAAAGCTGCCCACCCTACCCTTCCAACCTCCCCCACTGGGTGGATCACCACTGCTCCAGAGGAAAGCAAAACCTTTCCCACAACACACCTCAATGAGCTATACCATCCAATGAGGGGCAGAAGGTGATAAAGCTCCCTGAGCCTCACCCTGCCATCCCCAACACCTGCCCTGAAGCCTGGAGACTGTGCCTCGTTCTTACTTTCACATCCAGATAGACCTCAGTGTGGCCATTCACTCTGCTCCCTACCCAGCCTGTGAGAGGCTGTGCTTCTGAAGGGCACGAGAGAAGCTTCAGCGAACCAGCCTTGGATAAGGTCTGCAAAGGGTCCCGATACTCCTCATACACCACACGGGAAGCTGGGTTCAGGCACAGGAGGAACACTGCAGAAGAAAAAGAGATATCCCATCACCTAGTAAAGGAAGGCTGCTCCATTTTTAAATACATAGGGAGCATGAAAAAGGCCCCGGGTAATGTGGGTCCCCTGCAGGATATGCTTGGCAATCTGGTGGTCGCACCAGAGGAGAAAGCAGACCTCTTCAACAATTTCTTTGCCTTTATTTTCTTGTGCAGGGACTGGGACTCCCCTATCGAGATTCAGGACGGACTCAGGAGAAACTCCACCAAGCCTAGGGTCAGGGAGGACCAGGCTCGAGAACTTCCGGAGGGGCTGGATGTGTTCAAATCAGCAGGTCCAGTTGCTCTCCACCACAGGATGTTGAAGGAATTGGCAGGGGCTATCACGGGGCCCCTAGCACAGATTTACAAGCACTTGTGGTGCTCTGGCCAGGTGCCAGATGACTCGGAGGCCAATGTGGTCTCCATTTTCAAAAAAGGGAGAAGGGAAGACCCGGACAACTATAGACCCGTTAGTCTTACTTCGATCCTGGGAAAGCTCTTTGAGAAAAAATGGAAAATTATCCAGGACCATATCTGTGAAGGGGGATGATGCTCAGGGGCAACCAGCATGGCTTCACTGGGGGCAGGTCCTGTCAGACCAACCTGATTGCCTTCTATGATCAGGTCACAAAATCATTGGACGCAGGTGTCGCGGTGGATGTAGTCTTTCTGGACTTCAGGAAGGCCTTTGACACTGTCTCCCACCCCGTTCTCGTTAAAAAGCTAGGTGACTGTGGCATCGATGCCTACACAGTCAGATGGATTGCAAATTGGCTGGAGGGCCGCACCCAGAGAGGTAGTGAACGGGTCGTTTTCGACCTGGAAGGAAGTGGGCACTGGGGTCCCCCAGGGCTTGGTTCTTGGGCCCAAAGTGTTCAATTTCTTTATTAGCGACTTGGACAATGGGGTGAAAAGCAGCCTGTTTAAATTCGCAGACAACACCAAGATTTGGGGTGAGGTGGGCACACTAGAAGGGAAGGACAGATTACAGCAGGACCTAGACAGGTTACAGGGGTGGGCAAATGAAAATAGATGGGATTCAATACTAACAAGTGCAGGGTGCTGCACTTGGGCAGTAGGAACCAGCAGCATACCTACAGGCTGGGGAACTCTCTTCTCGAAAGCACGGTGGCAGAAAGAGATCTTGGAGTCATTACTGACTCCAAGATGAACATGGGCTGACAATGCAAGAACACAGTCAGTAGGGCTAACCGTACCTTGTCCTGCACAGATGCATCTCAAGCAGGGCCAAGGAGGTGATCCTCCCTATGCAACACTGGTCAGGCCGCAGGTGGAGTACTGCGTCCAATTCTGGGCACCGCACTTCAGGAGGGATGTGGACAGCATCGAGAGGGTCCAGAGGGCCACTCGCATGATCCAGGGACAGCAGGGCAGACCCTATGAGGAGAGGCTACGAGACCTTAACCTGTTCAGCCTTTGCAAGAGAAGACTGAGGGGGCATCTGGTGGCCATCTATAAACTTACTAGGGGGGGACCAGTGGAGTTTGGGAGAGACCTTGTTCCCCCGAGCGCCTCCCGGAGTAACAAGGAATAATGGCCATAAGTTGCTAGAGAGTAGGTTTAGACTAGACATCCAAAGGCACTATTTCACAGTCAGGGCGGCCAGGATCTGGAACCAGCTTCCAAGGGAAGTGGTGCTGGCTCCTACCCTGGGGTTCTTTAAGAGGAGGCTTGACGTTTACCTGGCTGGGGTCGTTTGAGCCCAGTTTTCTCTCCTGCCCAGGCAGGGGGTTGGACTAGAAGATCTACATGGTCCCTTCTGACCCTACATCTACATCTCCCAGTGTATGCTGGGAACTGTAGTCACCCCTGCGATGACCAAATTCATTGTACTGAAGGAAACAAGATGGGACTAGACTGACCTTGGTTGCCCAAGCCCTGCCAGAGCATGCTGGGAGCTGTAGCCAGGACTGGATACAGACATGGGTGAACCACCTGGGGCCCAGACAGAAAGGGGGCCCAAAAATGGTGAAAATAATTATTATTATTATTATCATTATCTCTGGTGAAGTGTGGCCTGATACTGAAAGTTCACCCGGGGCCACCAGGAGTCTAGGTACGGTGCTGGCTGTAGCCCCTACATGTAGCAACCAAAAGATGGAAATCGTCACCTCAGCAGCCAATGGGATGGCAGGCTGCCCACCCTAGGGTATTTTGAGAACTTGGCCATGCTGCTAGATTAGACAGAAAGTGATCAGAACCAGAGTGATGGCCAATGGCATGCCACTGACCCCAGGGCATTCTGGGAATTCATCTGCTCTCCATCCTGATAAGACTCAGTCTTAATGGAGGGGGGGAGCCATAAAAGTGGAGTTACCGCCGCACCAGTAACTAACAGGAATAATCCCAGTGCATTCTGGGAGCCATAGAGAAAGGAGTATCCAGTAGTATACAGGAACATAGCTTGCTGGGCTCTCAGTCCAACCAGCACTCAGTCCCCCATCGTTGGGCTGTTAAGTCTGGGCTACCTCTTGGAGGCAGACTTCCCTTTTGCTTACCAGGCAGCCATACATTTGTCAGCTGGTAGGTCATCTTCAGGTTACGCACTGTCTGGATGATTTTTTCCACCAACAGGAAATTGGCCTCTTCCTCAGGGTTATGCCAATGAGCCTGCACTGAGAAATGGGTGTTGCTTTCCCAGCTGACAAAACCAACCATCTATCCCTGTTGCCTGCCCCCACTTTCCACTGGTTTGCTTGGACGCTGTGAGCACCCCTAGTGACAAACCCCTGCCTCTGCTGGGATCAGGGCCCTGTTGTGCCAGACACTGCACAGACACAAAGGGAGAAACTCCCCTACCTCAGACAGCTCACTTCAAGTATATGTACAGAGGGTTTTTCCTCACAGTACACAGGGGGCTTGGAAATGCCAAGAGACCTGACCATGGCTGTACAGGGGACTAGTGGCAAAACTGGGAACTGAACCCAGATCTAACGGGTCCCAACCCCAAAACATCTTCACAGCAGACACCCACCAGCTGGTCAGCACAGGGGTAGCTGGCTACACAGACACTGGGAAAGGAGCCTGTATCCGGCTTAGGGAGTCGTTGCCACAGTTCCTCCGTCAGATAGGGCATGAAGGGTGAGAGAAGGCGCAGGCCAAGGTCAGTACAGGTGAGGAGAGTCTGGCAGGTCTGCAGGATCTGAAACTGGTCTCCACTACTCAGCACAGGCTTCACTGACTCCTGCCAAGTGGGGGAAAAAGAACCACAGACCAAAATGGAAATGCCCATATAGATACCAGCTATTGCAAGCTGGCTACCTTGGACTGTGTTACACAGGTGAATGGATGAGCAAATTGGGTTGGTGGAGCTCAATAGGCTGCATTGGGCAAGGGGGATGGATGGCTGTTTGAGTGCACACCTGGATGGCTATGTTGGGCTGGGTTAAGCCAAATGGACAGCTGAGTGGGTGGATGGATGGATGGACTACACTCAGTTGCACAGGATGGATGCATGGAATAAGTAGCACGAGGGAATGAACGCAAGAAAGTGGCACATTGAAGCTGGTATCTCACTTTCTCCTGACAAGTTACCAGCGTCCAGGTCCACCACAAACACAGCTGTGCTGGTGAATCGCAACCCCACCTGACACCTCCTCCTTTGCTCTCCAAGCCCTGGGCTCTAACACTTGAACAGTTCTACAGATGCCATTCCACCCTGACCTGCTTATTCCCCAGACTTCTCATGACTACATTGTTTATGAACACATGGAAACTAGGTCAAGAGCTAGGAAACCTCACAACACTGCTCTTGGAGGGCAGGATTTGAACCCATACCAGCAGGGAACACACACTCACCAGGTACACGCTGCAGAATTTGTTCAACCAGAAGCTGTGGATAGCAGAGATGATGCAATGGAACTCGTACTCGCCAAACCACTGGTCACAGTATGCAACCGTGTTGTAGAGATGGCTCAGTATCCACCGCTCCATCGGGGAGCAGGGGAAGACCTGGGTGGCAGAGGCACAAGGCAAGGGATTGGACCCCTTCCAGGGTAGAGGGAAATCTTTACTGCTCATGGCTGCCTGCTAGAAGAACCATTTGCTCCCAAAGGAATCCACTAGCATCCAGTGCTCTTGCCTCCCCAGTATACAGTGCCCAGCAGTACCACCCATGACCAGGGGAGGACACAAGATGCAAGCTACTCCACACATCACACCCCCCTGCAATAGCACCCATCCCCACCAGTGGGAGCAACTGATGTCCTTCTGCTCCCCACTGGACTGTGCACCATGCAGTACTATCCAGCCATAGTGCAGGCAAGATGACCCAGTATCCCCCTCAAGTCCTTGCCACACACTATCATCCATACTGGGCAGAAACAGCCATGTTTACCTATTCAGCTGGACCCCTGCAGTACTGCCCACACTCAGCAGAGAGCACAAGAAGCAATCCTGTTTATGCTCCATGTCACCCGCTGCAGCACCTCCCCCCGCCCTGCCCTGCCCTGCCCCACCCAGCAGAGGTAACCATTACCTGACTGGGGGCCTGCGGGGTAAACCCCTCTCCTAGGGCCCTCATCGTGAATTTGACAGCATTCCACACCTTGTTGCAGAAGTGACGGGAGCTCAGCACCACATCCACATCCAGGTTAATGTCATCCCCTAGGGGCAACACAGAGGGGTAAAGGCCTCAGCCAGTACCACTGTCATGAGTCTGGATCGGAGCTGGCATCCCCTGGAGATTAAAGACCCTTTGTCCCATTCCCTGAGCCGGGCAGTAACCCCACAGATTGGAACTGGAACTCTGTAGGGGTAAAAGACCCTGTGTCCTACTCACCCCCAGCCTGGGGCTCCATCAGAGCCCATGCCCAAGAGAGGCAAAAGGCCCTACAGCCCATTCCCCACCCTGCTCTAGGGCTGGTGCCTCCTGTGAGAAGAATGCCCCAGAAGCCAGATGAACCCACTCTTACCTCGGACATTGTGGGAGCACAGTGCAAATCTGAGTGCGTCGGTGCCACATTCGGGGATGCCCTGTGGAAAATCTCGCTTCTACAGCGGAATAGAAAAGGAAGTCAAAGGTGGGAGGGAGCCGACTGCTAGGAATCAGGGGAAAGAGAAAGACCCACCTGTCCCTCTGCAGCAATGGCAGCTTCCAGGGGATCCAGATGCCCACCCTGCAGCCTCCCCTGCAGGTCCTGTACCAAGGAGAGAGAGATTAGGGGCAGACCTGATATGGAAGGATGCGCTATTGTGAAGTATATCACACATGCATTATTATCGTCTCTTTTCAGGAGGTGCTGGGCTGGTTTGTTACTGATAGGTCTCTTTGGGGTGGGGGAGAGGGGTTGTAGAGATTGGTGTGTTATTTTACGGTCTCTTGCCACAAGGAAAGTACAGAAGTGTTTAAGGACTGAGCATGTATGCATGTCTGTGAAGAGTGGTACCTGCAGCGTGGCCCCATGAATGAAATCCAGGGGGTCAATCACATTCCCCAGTGATTTACTCATCTTCCTCCCATGTGCATCATGGACAATGGAGTGGAGGAAAACCTGGGAAGGGGCAGAGAGAAATAAATGAATAAATCAACCATGTCAGCAACTAAGCCAATATCCGTCACTCCTGACCCCTAACCCCCTGCTCCCACCAGTACACCCACCTGAGAGAACGGCAGCTTTCCCATGAGTTGCTGCCCCAGCATCACCATCCGAGCCACCCAGAAGAAAAGCAGGTCGCTCCCCGTCTCCAGGAGGCTGTTGGGATAGAAGTTCTGGAGGTCGCTGGTCTGGGGAGAGGACCAGTGTCAGTCACTCGACCCTATATGGACCAAAGGGCCTTCTACCTTGGCCCTTCTACCTCAGCCTCCAAATGTCCCAGTATAGACGCACCATCCCCAATAGCCCCTGCCTGTCCCATCACACCCGTGTCACTCACCTGGTGGGGCCAGCCTAGTGCCGCAAAAGGGAAGAGTGCAGAAGAGAACCAGGTGTCCAGCACATCGGGATCTGGAAACATGGAGCACAGATCATCAGCCCATGGGCCTCTGGCTCAGCTGGAGAACAGGTGCCCTAAGGGGAGGCAGCTCACTGGAGACCTAAGCAACATCACACTATGCCTCTAAGGGGCTAGTGACTTTGTTTACCTCTGGGCATTTCACCTGTCCCCATTAGGGTGACTGCCCTGGCTCTGTAACAAGCTGAAATTGGAGGCAACATCTTAAGGTTTATACCTCCCTCCCCTGCTCCCCAGGACATCTAAACCTTGCACCCACCTCTTCTCAAAACTGACACTGGGGTCTACCCTGGAAAAAAACGAGCATGAGACCCCTGGAAGAAACCAAGCATGATGGGTAAAGGACTGGGCAAATACAAATTGAGTACTGCACTCCCTAGCACTACTTCCTAAGCAGATGTGAGAGGCAGAAGTGGGGAGGTGAGATTCAGCTCTGATTGTGATTGTTGGGACCACATGGGTCCTCTTCTGTTTTTACCTCTCACCAACTCCACTTCCTCTTCTGGTTTCCCCAGAATCCCTGCTGCTTTCTTGCGGGCTTCAGCCTCTGTCCTGCCCACTACCCACAATGCACCATTCTCATCCTAAGAAACAAAGGGGGAAAAGTTTTAATGTCAAGAGTCAAGTAAAGTACCCCTGTCTGGATAGTTGGGATTTTTTTCCACAGCCAACCCTCCCCACCACCCCATTGCTTATAGTGCTGCCCTGCTAGCAGAGGCCAGAGATGAGACCACTGCACCTGCCCCCAACTCCCCACAGCACTGAAGTGGTCAGGATCTCCCCATAGCCAAGTATCTGCAGCCAATGACATTCCAGAAAGGGGTTTACCTTCTCCAAGCCACGTGACTGTGTAACGGGCACCTGGTAGGCTGGAATTTGATGGCCCCACCACAGCTGTCGGGAAATACACCAATCACTACAAGTAGAAAAAAAAAGTCAACTAAGCCACTGATGTTGTTTCACGTCAGGTTAGTCCTTCTGCTGCTTCATAGATGGACTGTCCCCTTAGAGGCTGTGACCAAGCAATGCTGCCCAAGCAGTTTATTTGCCAGTGTATTCTTGCAGGGATGCTCAAAACTAGACAGAGACAAGCTCTGTGGCAAAGGACAGAATGGAAGACCTGGGAGTTAGAAATCCTGGGTTCTCTCCCAAATCAGGAAGTAGAGTGGAGTCCAGTGGTTAGAAAAAGTTTCAGGAAGCCTCCTCACCTGATGTTGGAAAGCCAAGTGCTCCAGTTCTTCTCGTGAAATTTTGGGGTGAATTTCAGATGCCCTGATGCCACAGCCTGAGAGGACAAAGAGTGAAGATGTAATGCAACTTGGAGAGCAGAACAACCACGAGAGAAGACAGAACAGAAGTCAGTGCAGCTCCCAGACTTGGAGCGGATTTGCTCAGAGGAGAGCCTCAGTATCCCATTCTTGCTAAATATGAGATTCAAGAATCCTCATAGAGACCCATCCACCTATCCCAAATCAGAAATGTCAGCTAAAGGCTGCAAATCAAAGTTCTGCCCTGCCCGGTATGAAGGCAACTTCCTGGCTTAAGTGAAAAATCAGACTCAGATGAATTAATAGCTGGAGCAGGAAGAAGCCAAGGGTCAAGGACTCCTGGGTTCTAGTCCCAGCTCTGGGAAGCCAGTGGGATGGAGGGGGTTATATAAGAAACAGGGAACAGAGCCTCTTGGGTCCTATCCCATGCTCCAGGAGAGGAGTGAGGCTCAAAGGCTAGAGCAGGGCTGGGATGGGAGTCAGTACACCCATGCTGAGTGATAGTCATAGGAATTTTCAGTCAAGGGACCATTACCACTACTCACATCTAGGGCCCTCTGGGCCATACCCTCACACCGCAGAAACCACTGGCTCTTCAACAGGTACTCGACCACATCCCCGGAGCGACTGTGTGACAGAAAAAAAATACAGACCTGCTTGCTATATTCTGGCATATCCCATGTCCATTCCCTATAGCACAACACCCCTCTAGCTCCCAAGGGGGTACTGGGGTCAATACTAACTGTGAGAGGAGAGCACCCCTTATCAAGACCTCTGCCCTTATCCATGTAGCACAATGCCCACCTTGGCTTGATATAGGGTACAACAGCACTTACAGGTTAAAAGGATGCATTACCTACAGAGGGGCAGCACCATGGCATGGCCCTTCATGCTCCGGAGCAGGCCTTTCTTCTTCAAGGCAGACACTACTTTGTCACGGGCCAGAAAGCGATTCAGCCCCTGGCAGGGAACAAACCAGCAAGAGTAAAGCAGGGAGGTGGTGGGTCATAACTGAGAGGCACCAGCATGGGCCTGTGTGTCAAAATTATGGGGCACCAGCACATGAACCAGGATGGCAGGGTGCTATGGGCCAGGGGTAAGGGGCACTCTCACCTGTAGCCAGTCCCCACACTCAGCTGTCATGGAGCCGTCCTCCCCGATCACAGAGATGAGGGGAAGCCCATGCACCTTGCCCAGCTCATAGTCAGCACGGCTGTGGGCTGGGGTCACCTTCACAGCCCCTGGAGGGGATGAAATGAAGAGGAAAGACTACTGAACTGATATCTTGATGCCATTGCCAGCACCAACACCAACACCCACTCCCACTTTGCCCAGAACCCTGCCTCCAGAGCCCACAGGGTAGGAGGCTTGATGCTCACCTGTCTCCATGTCTTGCTCTACCATGGGATCTACAATGATGGGCAAGAGGCGCCCAGTGAATGGGTGCTGAACCATTTTCCCATGGAGATGCTGCCAAAATAAAGGGATGTCAAGCCAAGATCCATTGCTCTCCGTCACCTCCACAGGTGCCACAATCCCCAAAGTCATGACCCACTTCTCCCACAAAGAAACCCCATCCCACCATCATGGCTACAATTAACTTCTCCCAGAGATATCCCCTATATCCATGGCTATGCTTCCACTTCTTCTACAAAGAGATCTGTGCCCCTTGTCTCCGTGACTATGACCCTCCTTCCATGGAGACCCCACTCCTATGTTTGCATGGCTAGTAACCCACCTGTGTCTCTTAGGAGACATGAGTCTGCCTCCATGATGAGGAGTTCTCACCTTTCTACCCTCCCACAACAGCACATCCCTGCTGGTATGGAGAAGGGAATCCTCTCCTGCTGTCAACCCTGGCCATTTTCAAAGGGCCCAAGCCAAGCTGCAGAATTGTAGCTAAAGCAGAGAGCCCCAAAACCTGTTTCTTAGCAAACAGAGTGATGAGGGCTCTTTTCACATGTTACACTTAGCCTGGTCATCCAAGTATGGAAGCAATCAATGCATCCCATTAAACCAGTTCAATCAGAGCTGTGCTGTGGCTCAGACATCAGGGGATGAGTCAGCATTCAGCCCCGTGTCCCACAGCAGGTAAGTGGGTGGGGAGTGCTTGTGTCCACACTTTGGGGACTCCGGAGGGGTGGGTGACTTGTGACTGAGGGCATTTGCACTTTCCTGTTTTCCCTGCTTTCTTAAAGATGAGTTTGATAAAACTTCTATAGCCTGCAAGTGACCAGTCTGCTTGCCTGAGCTGGGGTGCGTATATGGGGGAGGGAAGTGATTGGATATGCAGAGGGAATGAGGGTACAGCTGGCTGTTAGAAAGATAGCTTCTATTGAACAAGCAGAGCCAGGGAGCTCCTTGATAAAAAAGTGCCAACAAAACAGGCAGTGTTCTGGCCGCATACCAGAAGTGGCTGGTTGTAGCCACTGGGGGAGGGAAGGAGAGTGGGGCACTGAGGGAGGTGTTGAGGAACAATGCAGTGTGGGATGTCTGGAAGGGCAAACTCATGCCACGCAACAGCTAGTGTCTATGTAGAATACTGGCCTGGTTCATAGTGATTTGGCTCAAGAGGGCTTGATTTTCCAGGTACACTTTTGATCCATTCCAGGCAGCTCTACCCTGGTTTAACAGGCTTGTAAATCTAACTACTTAAGGTTTAAACTGCGTTTAAATAAGTCTACGTGTTACGTGTGTCCATACCCCTAAAAACTGCCTTGATCTAGAGGCTCCACCATCCAGCAATATGGAGATGACCTCCCACCTAAGCGTGTCCCCACTCTGCACCCTAAAGGACCCCCCACCAAGGGGTCAACATGGATCCCTTTCTTTGCACCTACCAAGTACCGTGGGTCATTAGGATGGACAGCTACTGCCACGTCCCCTAGCATAGTCTCTGGACGGGTTGTGGCAACGGCAAGCTCCTGGTCTTTCTCCAGCACAGACATGGAAAGAAGAGAGCAGAAAGCAGGGAAAGTCACGTACCAAATTATAATTAGAAATGCAGGTGCTTATGGGGTGTAGCAGCTGGGTCACAGACAGATCATTTGCCCAGCACTGAGGGGCAGCTGAGCCAAAGCTAGGTGGCAATGTCACAAGGGGCTCAACCCCTCCCAATCCTACTCAGCCTGGATACTTACCCTCCTCTCCTTCCACTTTGTAGGCAAAGGTGACCATGACCCCAAAGGGCACTGCGGCTGGACAGCCTGGCACAGACAGCATTGTGCGGCCTTGGAGCTGCCGGTTTTCCACCTGTCGGGGAAACAGCTGTGAGGGCTGGGGAGAAGAGGGCACAAGAGACCCTCCCCTAACCCCCAGCATGGTCCTGACCCTGCACTCACCTCTATGTCAGAGATGGCTGAGCGCAAGGCACATGACCAGTTCACCAAGCGCTGTGCTCGATACACCAGTCCATCCTCATGCAATCGCACAAATGCCTCTGTCACCGCCTCTGAGAACCCCTGTGCATGAGGAAGAAAGAGCAGAGAGTTTGGTAAGGGTCTCAAGGGGACTCCATTAGCTCCCACACCCCTCTCAGACCTGGGGAGAGGACCTAGGAGTAAAGGCTCCCAGCCCCTCTGCTTAACTCCACTCCCAGCTCCCCCGGAGCTGGGAACAGAGCTCAGGAGTCCTGGATCACAGTCGGTACTATCTTTGCATTTCAGACACTCACAGAATCCATAGTGAAGCAAGCTCGGTCCCAGTCCAGAGATGCCCCCAGAGCCTTGAGCTGCTGGAAAATCTCATTTCCTTTCCTAGGTAGAGGTGGGTACACTGGTTATAGCACCGAGTAAAACATATGAGTTCCCCTACTGAGTCCCCACACCACTCCCTGCAGTACAGTGCCCCAAAATACCACACTGGGGTAAGCAATGACTGCAAGGGAAGATGCTCCCCAATCCCCACAGCACAACACTCCCTAGTGCCAGCCAGGACCAGCTCTCCCTCAGGGTGCTGAGACCTGGTGTCTACTCACTCCTCTTTCCACTTCCAGACCTCAGAGAAGAACTCCCCTCGTGTCAGGTCCTGCCGCCGGGCTCCCCGCTCTTTCCAGATCCTGCTCTCTTCCCCCGCCTGCCAGAGAAGAGAGTAAATAGAGACACCAACCCATGTCTAACCACCTGCCCTCCCCTCCAGTGGGCCCTGCCTAGCAAGCACCCAGCCTTATCCACATGTGGAAGACGAATGGCAATGTGTAGGGGGATCCATAGGCACCCCTTGAGAGCACTGGTGCACCCCCTGACAGGCAGCTTTCCCCGCTTAGGCAACGGGCGGGGGGGCAGGTGAGAGCACCAGTACACCCCCTGCGAGCACCGGCCAGGGTATGGGGGTGCCAGAAGTGCCGCTGACATTTCCAGGAGTGCCACTCACGCTTCCTGGTCAGCAAGATTGGCCACAGGGGCACCCCGTCACTGACTGGACACTGGGGAGGCATGTGCCCCCCACGATTCAGGCGGCAGCAGTCACCCCTGTGGAAGACTAAGGGGGAACTGATTTACATTTGCATGGCTGCTTTGTTTTTGAGATGGGTGGCCAGCCCTGCTCTACCCCACTGGACCTAGAAAGGATGGGAGCAGCAATTCTTAAAACCTAGGCAGGTGCCAGAATAGCTGTTTTAGGCAGTCAGTTGGTTTCTGCATGGCTCAATAGTTACTTGGATGTAAAAAAAGGGGGTGTGAGTAAAATCTTTGGAGAGGACCAGTGAGAGTGACCCACATCCAGTGAAGGTTTGGTAATGCAGGATGTTGTATAGGCCTTGCTGTCTACATGATTGTATGTCTGTAATCACCTGAATGAATGGGTGTTGGCTGGTAAAAATCTTAGTTGTAAGAGTTAATAGATGCCCTATATTTTCTGCCACTCCAACATCCCTTCCTTTTAGAGTGCTATTTTGATATCCCTGGATCAGTACAGGAGAAATGGAGTCAATACCCTTCAATCAGCAAAGGCAATAGGTCAGCCCAAACCACGATGAAAAACCTTTGGTTGCAGCCATTTTGGACACTGGTGAGGACAGCTAGCCTGTGCCCTCCAAGAGGGTGAAACAACGGGGGCATTTCTGTAGGATCGCTTATCAAGCCACAGGAGGCTGATATACAACATAGGCCAACCTTTTAAAGATTTTCGAGGGACTATGAAGACAATGTTTTACTGTTAGAAAGGTGGTGTGTATGCAGAGGCTGAGGATCTGCTGTTAGCTCCTTGATGACAAAAGAGAAGAGCTGAGAAGAGTGTAGGTGATACAAAGAACAAGTGAAGAGGAAAAGGGCTCTCCATACTGAGGCAAAGCAAAGCAACTGGGTCACTCCCCATGGGAGGACTGTGCTGGATCCAAAAGAAAAGAAGCTGGTTTTTGGGAAGCTATTCCTAAGTTACAGTTGGAGAAGCTGGACAAAAGGCAAAGAGCGGATGAAACCTGAAAGGGCACGAGGACAACTGAACCACGATCAGCGAGTAGTGCCAGGTTCCCACGGCTGAATGTAAGGGGAAGCTTGATCCTCAGGTAGGGTGATGGAACCATGGTGCCATCGTCCTGTTTGAGGAGGGACGATGTGGAGGAAGGTCCCAATTTGTCCCCTTTCAACTACAATTACAAACAGAGCATGGACATACCAGGCTTTGGCACCAGCCAACTAGCCACTAAGGCCTAGTAGTAACTCAGAAGCTGAAGGAAACATTAGGAGCCAATAGTCCCAAACTGCTATGCTCCACAGGAGCTGCAGTGCAAAGCTCATTAAAGGTGCCAGGTCCCAGCGAGCCTCAGGACAAGGGGCAACTGCAGGGTCCAAGCCTTCCTTACCCTGATCCTCAGGATTGGGCTGGAGGAATCCCTGAACTGAACTAAGTCTGGAGCCTCCTGGTGCCAGCTCCTGACGCTCAGCTGAACTTGGAATCTGAAATGGGGCAGTCCCAGGATCTTGGTCCCAAACCTAGCTGCCCCCTACTCTATCCCAGGAGGCACCCTGGGTCTCAGGTGTTGGATGCCACTTTAAATGAGTACACAGCTGGGGATGGGAGAGTTTCCCCTGTTCTCCACTGAATTTGTTGGGTTCCTCTTTGATCTGGCACACGCAGCAGGAAATTCCATTATCCCCAGTTGCACCATGGGGGCCACTGTGAGCCTGACAAAAATAAGGCCTGCCAGGGGCCTGTCTCTACATTGTGTGCTGTGCTATCTTAGGTTGTGTTGATGTATTTTTGTTTAATCTCCTAAATCAGGTGTGGCCAACCTGCAGCACAAGAGTCATGGGCAGCCACTGTGCTTGGCACCTGCCAAATCAGGGAGCGGACAGACAGCAGACCAGCTGACAGATCTACAGAGCAGCAGACTGGGCAGAGAAAAGTGCCCATGGCATGGGGCTAATTTTTGGCATTCCTCCCAGAAAGGCTGGCCTCCACTGTCCTAGATAAACTGTAAGAACAAGGATAGAGATGATAAATGAAAAGTGAAAAGAAAACAGGAAGGTCATAAGTGACATTCGTAGCTGGTGAAAGGAGGAAATAAAAATTCTTCCTTCTGAAAACGTTAATTTTCATGAGGATGTCAAATCCCAGATAAAACTGGTACTTTCTAGGGCCACAGAATTGATTTAGTTCAGTTCCCCCAAATCTCAGTAAAACAAAGACATTTAAATGTACCAATCAAAGTGCATTTGTCAGTGCAAACCAAGAATAAATATGAAATATGGACTGGAGGGAAGATCAGAGAAATCAAGAAACCCAAGAAAACCTGCTGCCAGTCTCTGTGCCACCCGCCTCCTCCTTCCTGAGTCTGCCCAAGTAGTACAGTTCAGAATCTGTCAGGAGCAGGCAATTATTTTGGGCGGAGGGCTGCTTACTGAGTTTTGGCAAGCCATCGAGGGCCGCATGACTGGCAGCCATGGGGCAGATAAAAATTAAATTTTTATAATTTTTAGGGGCCCCGCAGGCCGTATAAAATGGCATGGCGGGCCACATCTGACCTGCGGGCTGCATTTTGCCTGCCCCGATCTATATTGTGCTGTTGTAGTTAGCCAGATGGACACTGGGATATATTTTTACTCTTGAGGTTTTGGGATGTAAACAATAACAGCTGAAGTTGCAGACCTGCCCCTTGCCTATATGATCAGTAGCCAGCCTACTAATACATCTGGAATCCAGATAATTACTGCATCTTACCTGAGTGGCGATTCCAGCATGATCTGATCCTGGCACCCACAGCACTGTATCACCACGCATCCTATGCCTGCAAAACAAACACACACACAAAATACTGACAGCCACCTGCATCCCATTCACTGCAAACCTGCTCTGGCATCTGATCAGAGCCAGCATCCCAGATGGGAAAGACCCCAGGCATCATACCTCACTGCCCAACCCAAATTAACCAATTCCTCCAGCCTGAGTCAGGCTGAAGCCATCATGCCCTAGAGGGAAAAGGTCCCAGACTCGTCCGCTGCCCCCTGGAACCATTACTCACCACCGTACCAATGCGTCCTCAATGGCGACAGTGAGGGCGTGACCCAGGTGCAGGGACCCAGTGACATTAGGTGGGGGGATGCAGAGGGAAAAGGTCTCTGCTTTCCTCTGAGGCTGCTGGCTCTGAGACATAAAGAAAGTGTGTGTTAAGCAGTACCTCTAGCACCCAGTGGAGCACTGGCCCAGCACCGACAGAGGGAAGAGCACAATATTGAACCCCTGCTCCTCAACTTCCTGCTGCACAGTACTCCCAGTACCATACTGAGCTCTTTTACAGCTCATCTTGAGGGTGGGGCTTGGAACTGAGGGGATATTTTCACCTGATACTCTGGTTTGAAGAAGCCTTCCTTCTCCCACCACGAATACCACGCAGCTTCTACATAGCGGGGACTGTAGGACGCTGGCAGGGGCACTGACGTATCTGTGGTAAGAGCAAAATATGGTTAGCCCTGAAGACAAATGTCTCTAACAACCTCTCTCTAGAGGCAGTGTCAATGTCTGGCTTAGGGAGCAGGGACAGACAGGAAGGTTGCTCCAGGATGTACCTGCGTGACAGGGGATGCCTATACCAGAAGGGGACTTGAGGGGGCACAAGGAATGACATTTTCCCCAGTGTACCTTTTTTCTGACCGGGTGCAGTGGGGATGTCATACAAAACCACATCTTTTGGTACCCATGCCTTAGACCGCCTCTGAGGCACCTGGGAAAGAGAAAAAGCAAAGAGGATGCTGAGAGAGAAATCAGTATCCATCTCCATATAAACTACCCCACAGCTATTTAACAAAGTGCAGCTATTTACTGTGTTGACGATTATAAAGGCTATTTATACAGGGGGCGGTCAGTGCTGGAATGCAGGTTGGGGTAGGGTAGCTGGTTAACTGGTGCCCAGCACCACACAACACGGTAACAGGAAAGGACAGAACAGCCCTCTAGCCCAGGCCTGCAGATCCTGTGTGTTAAAAAGCCTGAGCAAAATACTCAAATTCCCTGAGCATCAAGGTTCCCTCTTGTCAGCCCTTCCCTCCTGAGCATTCATAATTTCCCCAACTGTAAGCACAAGAACGGCACCAGTAACATTTCTATAGCACCTCACTCTCAACCACTGACTCAGCTTCACTTTACTCCATCCGTAGCACCACAAAACCATGGGGACCCCCTAGTAAATCTCCTTCGGGCCTTGGCCAAACTGTCCTTCTATGAGATCAGGACGGAGATGCTGGCTAGAGGGGACCTGGGCAACTGTGAGGCTCTTTCTTTCCTTTCTGTGGACTTAGGAGCAGAATTTCACTAGATGAAGTCCACTGGCTCCCTAAATGCCACCGAGGAGCAGTGGGTGCTGGCTGGGACTCTTTGCTCCGTATCTTTCCCTGGCACTTGGTTACTGACCTGTAACCTTCCCTTACCTCCCTGTTTTTAAACCTGTCATCCCAAACACTTGCTGCGTACCTAGTGACCTCTCTTTAGCTGATAAGGATGGTCTGACATTCCTGGTGGGCCTCATCCTGCTGTCACGGTGCAGCAAATAGGTCTGTCTTTCCTTGCTTATGAGCTAATGGCAAAACAGATGACAAAGTAGGGAGACTAAGTCCTAGGAGGGCTCCACCCAAGGAAAAGAAATAGGAAGAGCTCCACCACATAGAGCCATTCTAGGAATCAGCCCGTCCACTACTTGTCTCTCTCATGCTTTCTGCTTGCTGCCACCTCGAGGTAATGTAGATGGAGAGGGGCAGTTTGTGCGGCTTGGGCAGGTAGAGGAGGATATTTAGGGTGGCTGAAGAACAGAGATGCAGACCCGTCCTCAGTCTTAGCAAAGATGTGGCACTTGGGGCAGAGGTGACTGAGAATGACAGAGCCCTAATCCTGCTCCCTTAGCACAGCTCTCCCAGTACTGCAGTGGGGCACTGGGCTCAGCACTGGCTGTGAGGGGACTGCACCAGCTAGAGAGCCCCTACACCTTCTCCCCAGTAACCCAGGAGCCCCTACCACTGACTTCTGAGCCACTCCAGCCTCAATAGACTCCAGTCTCTTGCGCTGCCTCTTCTGCTTCTCTGCCTTGTTTTTCAGCTGGGTCCAGTTCTGTGCTGAGACCCTGGAATCGGATGAAGCTCTCCATCCAGGTGGGACGGCCCAGGGCCCAGGTCTGGTCCAAAGCTGAAGCAGCTGGTGGAGGGAGCTCAGACACCGACTCCTGATGGATCCATCCCTTTTCAGCAGCATGTTTAGGAGCAGGCAGGTCCAGCTGCCAGCTGAAGCCCATCAAGGGGAAGGGGCCCCTTTGTCTGGCGTGACACAGAGGAGGGACCTGCAGAGTGCAACACAGAACAATGCAACCTGCCTCTCGCTCCGCCAGCGCCATACATAAAGGGCTTGATGCTGGACAAAGAACAGACTGGGCACAGGCAGCACAACACAGAGCACGTGCAACTCCACATGCAACCCAGGGGTACCAGCTCCCTGCTGCCCTACTGCACTGGACCCCACTTTCCTCCTGGGGAAACTGGCAAGGCAGATGCAAGTTTCTGTGTCTATGTCTGTACCTGATACAGGGACATTTTTTAAGGAGTATTTTTCTTTCTCCTTATTTGTCCCCTCTGAGGCCGGATATGGAAGAATTAGAAGTCTGGGGCAAATACTGACAGGACACTTTTTGCATGGAGGCTTCCCCAGAGGGAAGTATGAAAGGACTGTGCAACTCTTGCTCACAAGGAGGATGTTCCCACCGCCCCCCCCCCCGTCCCCTTTTCAAAAGCCTAACAAGTCCCAAGATTTTCCAAACTGAGCTTCTTTACCTTTGTTTAAAAGGTTAAAAACAGCTCATGCCAATCCCAGCACCCTGCAGGCCTACAGACCCTGCCTTGAGATGCCACAGGCTTCTGGTGCTTCCTTCCTGGGCAGGTAGAGCAGTTCTGGGCTCGGGAATCATCCTGCTCCCGGCTCCAGCTCCAACTCTGGTGCAGTTGATCACAGTTCTAAGGGAAAGGGGTTGCCCTGGCTTGCCTCACAGCCATGCCCAGCAGCCCACATGTGGACAGCTGTGTGTGTGTGTGTGTGTGTGTGTGTGAACATGTGCATGTATGTTTGTGCATGTGTATGAGTGCATGCATGTCTATATGTGTCCATGTGTGCATGTGCACGAGTGTGCATGCATGTGTGAAGGTATCCATGCATGGATGTGCCCATAGGTGACTGGTAGGGGGACATGGGGGGGGGGCATATGGCCAGATATGCATGTGCGTGTGTACAAGTTTGAATGTGTCCATGTGCGGGTGCATGAATGTGCATGCACGTGTATGTGTCCATATGTGTATGAGTGTGCATGCATGCATGTGTCCATGCCTGCACGTGTACACACTGAGCCATACATGCAAGTGCATGCACGTGTGTGTCTATGTGTATGAGTGTGCATGCGTGTACACACACGTGGCCATTCGCGCATGTGGGTGTATGAGTGTGCATGTGCTTGCATGAGTGCGTTTGCACGTGCACGTGCGTGCTTGTGCGCATGCGTCTGTGTGCGCGCACACCCGTGCCAGGCCGCAGCGCCTGGCTGGGTCTCACGGAAGCAAATCCGGCTGAGCCGCGCGCGATCCGGGCCCGGGGGCCGGCGGCGGCCGCCATCTCTTGCCCGGGGCCTCCCCATTCCCGCCCGGGGGTTCCG